TAACAAATTCGTTTTGGACTCAGAACAAAACAAGACTGAGTAAATTAAAAAATATATATTATTTAAGGCTAAACTAAGACTTCAATAAACCAAGAGTGATGCCAAGTTAACCTGAAATCCCAAAACTACTCTAATAATATCAGGTCATCTGATCACCATTGATTATTCTCTGAATTTCTTGTCAATAGTATTAATATTAATTTTAGGCTAAACTAAGACTTCAATAAACCAAGAGTGATGCCAAGTTAACCTGAAATCCCAAAACTACTCTAATAACGTCAGGTCATCTGATCATCATTGATTATTCTCTGAATTTCTTGTCAATAGTATTAATATTAATTTTAGGCTAAACTAAGACTTCAATAAACCAAGAGTGATGCCAAGTTAACCTGAAATCCCAAAACTACTCTAATAACGTCAGGTCATCTGATCATCATTAATTATTCTCTGAATTTCTTGTCAATAGTATTAATATTAATTTTAGGCTAAACTAAGACTTCAATAAACCAAGAGTGATGCCAAGTTAACCTGAAATCCCAAAACTACTCTAATAACGTCAGGTCATCGGATCACCATTGATTATTCTCTGAATTTCTTGTCAATAGTTGACTTTAAAAGCTGCAAACTGCCACCATTTTTTTTACTGTGCCAGTTTCCATGTGTGAACCTTTGACTCATTGATTTTTTCTTTTTAGAGAGACTCTCTGCTTTCTTTCTAAACAAACTGCTGGAGAAGGTTCAGTATTTACAGTAACCTCATGCTGTTAAAATGACGGTGCTGATTGGCTTAAACAACATCTATCTTGATGATCAGGGATAGTGGCTAACCAATCAGAGAATGAAGACGAGTCACTTCACCTGATGAGTCGTCCATTAGCTCAAAGGTCTGCGCTTATTTAAAGAGTTACACTTAAAACGAGGACAGAGGTCATGTGATAGCAAAGACCACACACTTTAAAAATGCTGAGTTGTATTAACCCAACATTGGGTCAACTATGAACAAACTCAACATTTTTTAGAGCGTGCACAGGTCGTGTATTCAGAAGAACATGCAGACCTCAGCACTGTATTATCAAGCCTGATTAGCTCACATGGCTAAAGTTAAACCATTTCTGGATCTAAGAACTAGCAGAAAAATGTTCCAGTTCAAAGTGAAACTTAGACAAGCCGATTACCATATAAAAACTCAGTAGATAAAAACAAACAAAAATCATAATTGAAAAAACGTCAAAATTATAAGATTAATTTTGAGAAATTGTCTGATTTATGTTTCTTTCTTGCCTTTCTCATTTTCAAAATTGTAAATTTACTGCATCTTGTTGTTTTTTTGTTTTTGTTTTCACACTGTGGGCTGCACAAGTTCTCGAATTTGTATCCTATTGAACTTCATTGAATACATTTAACGATTAGCATAGGAAAACTGTGTAATGTTATTTAATGTGTATTTATATATTGTGCAATAATTTTGTACGGCCATACACCCGAAGCGCTTCACAATCATGAGGGGGTCTATCCACACCACCACCAGTGCGCTCACCACACACCAGCTATTGGAGGAGTGGAGAGGCAGTGAAAGAGCCAATTCGGTGGATGGGAGGCAGTGATAGGAATTTTTGCCAGGACACCAGGGTTACACCTTTACAAGAAGTGCAATGGGATTTTTAATGACCACAGAGAGTCAGGACCGCAGTTTAACAACTCATCTGAAAGACATTGGCCACTGACAGTATGCCCTTCACTATACTGGGGCATTAGGACTGGGGTTGGATGCCCCTTGCTGGCCTCACTAACACTATACTTCCAACAGCAACCTAGTTTTGAAACCATGTGGTCTCTCATGCAGGTACTGACCAGGCTCAGCCCAGCTTAGCTTCAGTGAGTCTTGGGCTGCAGGGTGATATAGCCACATATAAAACCATGCCTATACAAATTGTAATCAATACACCCACAAATATGGAGACTACGCTTTTATAATAAACCCATGATTAATCTTCATAACGGGAGAAAAAACAGAAAAAAATCCAACATGCTAATAATAATGCACTAAAGCATGCTAGCAACAAGCTATAATGTGTAAATATTAGGGCAGAACATGCTACCAGTGTTAGTACATGCTAATAATGTGCTTAAACATTCTAGCAACTTAACCCTTTACCACGCGCATGATGATAAATCTATTAAAAATGTATTTGACTGTTTTTCTTTTCTGAAAATAGCTTAACTTGAAGTGCTGTGAAAAAAAATGGAAACATTTCTTTTTTAAGGTATTTTATGATATGTTGCCATACGGCAACAACGTCCAACAGAGAATTTAACTTAGAAATTTTAAATTTAGAACTTTCCTTATAATGAATGATTTTGTTGTTTGAAATGATTTAATTGTTGTTGCAGTATTATAAGCTTTAAAATAAAACTTATAAATAACACCTTATACATACTTTCCAACAACTCATATTACAACAGCTTGCAACTATTCCATTCTTTTTTGCTAAATATTATTAAAAACAAACCTAATATTGTATTATCATGCATACAACATGAAGTAAATATGAATATTTTCTCCATTAAATATTATAACAAATAAATAATCCAGAAGCATCAGAATAATGTAGCTACTAACTAACAATGTTTATATATTATACTATATACTGTACTACACATGTGTTGTCTGCCTCTGAGCTAATTTACCTGATCAAATGTCCAGTCTGCATCATTCTTATGATCACTAAAACCCATCTCATCCTCACTTCATCTGCAGGAAGAGCCAGTTCTGTCCTTTTCTTTCACTTACCATAGAGCATGGTGGTGCTAGATAATACACTGTTCCCTGTATACATATCTACATCTATATATATATCTATCTATCTATATATATATATATATATATATCTACACATATTTGATATAAAACCTTCCCTTCATTTTTAGAAGGCAGAATAAAACAAATGAGCTAGCATAAAAGCTCCAACTAAATAATTAACATTACTGTAAAAATGTTTACATTAATCTGTTTTCTACATCAGGGTGAGGCAGTGGCGCAGTAGGTAGTGCTGTTGCCTCACAGCAAGAAGGTCACTGGTTCGAACCTCAGATCAGTTGGCGTTTCTGTGTGGAGTTTGCATGTTCTCCCTGCCTTCATGTGGGTTTCCTCCGGGTGCTCCGGATTCCCCCACAGTCCAAAGACATGTGGTACAGGTGAATTGGGTAGGCTAAATTGTCCGTAGTGTGTGTGTGTGAATGTGTGTGTGGTTGTTTCCCAGAGATGGGTTGCGGCTGGAAGGGCATCCGCTGCATAAAAACTTGCTGGATAAGTTAGCGGTTCATTCCGCTGTGACAACCCCGGATTAATAAAGGGACTAAGTCGACAAGAAAATGATTGAATATTTTCTACGTCTACAATTTTCACATACATTCAACTGTCAAGGCAGAAAAGATGACATAATTATGCAGTATTTGCTGCCACCTTCCTGTTAAACCTGGAAAAAACATTTTAAGGCAGCTTTAATATCTTCATTCTGTAAGCTAAAGAGCAACACATGTAGCATGTTGGCAATTACCACAAACGCGCTTACCACAAAATGTAGAAATGTCACGGGCTCTATACAGACCTCAACAGCAATCACTCACCTTATAACAGCAATAGCAAACACCAACTTGCCTTGTGTCCTTGTTTGCATATTCACAGACACCAACATCAAAGCAAAGGTGAGGACGGTTAAACAACAAAAAAGTTACAGTACAAAATAGCTAGCAGCTTGCTAAAAATGCTAGCAACGTATTCAAAGATGTTAAAACTTTAACATGTTAGTGTCGTGCTAAAACAAACAAGAAATGTGCTAAAACATGCTACACCAGAACGAATGACAACGTGGCACAACATGCTTGTATCATTAGAACATGCAAGTAATGTTTAGCATTACAACAACTATCTGAAATTTAACTTTCTGAACTTTCATTATTTTTTTAAGTTAATATCAAAGTTGGTTTTGAAATATATATTTTGTTTTGCTAGCTTTTTTCCAAACACAAACTAGTCAATCAAAACAACTTAAAATTACATTATGGATTTAGTAAAAAAAGCAAATAATGTCAGCATGAGCTAGAACATGTTAACATGACTGATGTGTTGAATAAATTGTTAGAACACCAGTTACAAGCCAACAGAGTTGGAAAACATTCTAGAAGCATATTAAACATCCCCTGGGGTTTATACCCTTCTGAAAAAAACTGCTTAAACCAACCTAAGCTTGTTGGCTGGTTTTAGCTGGTTGACCAGCCTGGTTTTAGAGGGGTTTTGGCCACTTCCAGGCTGGTTTCCAACCATTTACAGCCTGTTCTTAGCTGGTCAGGCTGGAAAATGATCAGCTAAAACCAGCTTGACCAGCCTGGTTTAAGCTGGACATTGCTGGTTTTGCCTGATCAGCTAAGACCAGGCTGGAAATGGCTGGAAACCAGCCTGGAAGAGGCCAAAACCCCTGATTACCATCGTTTTTACCATCGATTACTCGTTTATTTTCCTTAAGGGTGACATTAAACATTTTAAAATGTTCTTTTCACTTCAAACTTGGCATCACGGTGGTGCAGTGGGTAGCTCTGTTGCCTTACAGCAAGAAGACTGCTTGTTTGAGCCTTGGCTGGGTCAGTTGGCATTTCTGTGTGGAGTTTGCATGTACTCCTCGTGTTCAGGTGGGTTTCCTCTGGGTGATCCGGTTTCCCTCACAAGTCCAAAGACATACGCTACAGGTGATTTGGGTATGTTGGATAAGTTGGCAGTTCATTCAACTGTAGCAACCCCTGATTGATAAAGGGACTAAGCCGAAAAAAAATGAATGTATGAAATTAAAACTTTTAAATTTAAAATCTTAAACTACAAAACAGTTTAGAAGTTGGTCCATTAAAACACTTATAATACTTGATCAAAGTTTGTCTGCTAGCTATTAGCAATAACAAAACACTGCATATAAAAACTACAGAAACACAAAACAAATCGTACAATTCAAAATGGCATCATCACAGTTTTATTATGTGACTTTGTACAATAAAAATGAAAAAGCAAAACAAAATAAAGAGAAACAAAACTATAAAAAGAGGTTGCAGAAGTACATGGCCGAAAGCTAAGTGTGGTATTGGAGAAGGCCAGCTCAGATGGGACACACAGCCTATAGAGAAAAAACTAAAACAAAACAACTGGCCAAAAAAAAGTCAGTTCACTGCTCCTTTATCAGTTTACGTGACAAAAACTGGAATCATTTTAAGCACTAGAATATAGACATCAACAAATGACTTAATAAAGCCTCATAATGCATGAATTACCCTCCATTTTTGTAAAACTTGCATAATGTTGTACAGCACATCCTTGTAGGAGGAACAAATCATGAGTCGTTTATAAAGTCTCTGTAGATGAATATAAACTACAACTTTCAGCAAGCAGTGAACTGGAACATCATATGAAAAAACATGACAAAATAACAATAATAAAAAATAAAAAAAAACATTTAATGAATGGCTAAGGTCCATGGCTAAATAATTTAAATTACACAAATATTGGAAGAGCTTAACATTTCAGGAAGGGGGAAAAAAGCCACAAAATGCATTGTTTAAAGGACAGAAATGCCTGAGGTAAGATTCAGCCTTTAGGTTTTTACTAACGTGGCCAATCAATATTTCAGTTGTAAAGGAGGAAGTGACCTAAAAACACTAAACAAACATTCGGCAGAAAGGAATTTTACAAACTGATCCTAAAGAGGCTGTCGTTTCAAACAATATTGCATACTGTATCTCTGAGAAGTTTGTATGTATTTATTCGTTACAGATCAAGCGCTTTCAGCTTGTGTGAGGTCTGGCAAAAAATGAACCGATATTTTTAAATGTGGAAACGGAGCATGATGGAGGGACAGCAATGAGTGTTTCCAGGTCAGTGGGGCAACACAGAGGCTCTCCATCTCCCCGCACAAAACTAAAGCAAAAAACAAAACAAAAAAAACACAATCATTGGGCTTTTATATAAATGAATGAGTTTGGTCGACAGACTGACTGATGCTCCAGGCTGGTATAGTTGGCAACTTGAATGTCGGTGATGGTCCAAGTGGTTTAAAAGATCTTTTTCTTTTTGTTCTTTTCCAAGGTCCTTCAGAATTGAAAATGAGAGAGAGAAAAATGAGAGTCAAATTTTATAAGAGTTTAAAAACGTGTTCTATTTTGTTACAGGCATTATATTAAAGGTCTCATGAAATGTTGGAAATAAGCATTTTTATTTAATGTTTGATGTAATCTTAACTTAAAAACGAAGAGAGTGTGGGGAAAAACAGCCAATAGTGTTTTGTTTTATCACAGCTCTGCCAGTGAGAGTGGTTGAGCTCAAGTGCATCAAATGAAAAGCAAATGAGAAGCGTCTTTAAGGGGACGGGGCAAGTCAGATACTAGAGATTGATACTAGAGGGTGTTAGGTTTGTCAATAATGATAATCAGTATTTTGCTGATTATCATTAATCAGCACTGTACCAGGGGTTGGTTCTTCGTGCCTCGCCTAATTGATCTAAGACGATTGGCAGATCTTGGATCTTTTAATCTCTGGCTAATTTATATATACATATGTACACGCACGCACGCACGCACACACATATATATATACACATACATACATACATACATCCATACATACATACATAAATACATACATACATACAAGGATACAGGGCTTGACATTAACTTTATTGCTTACCATCCACTGTGGCTACTAGTAGATTTCCAACATTACTAGCCACTCATCATTTTCACTAGCCACACTTTTCTTGTTGGGAAAATATATTTTGCTTAAATTTGACTTTGACATGCTAAATAACTTGATTTAGATGTTGTGTTATGTCCACATGCATTCTCATTTATTTAACGTCTTGTGCGTGTTGTGTATTAGCTTGCTCAGTGTGCATGAGCAAATGGACTGTGTCACAATCCAATCAGTTTTTATTTCATGACTTTTCTGGGCTCAAAATTAAGGATTTACCAAATTTATCTCCGACCACACCAATAAGTATTTCTTAGCCACAATTATTTAATGTGTAAAATCAAGGAAAATAAAGCTTTATAGGTGCACTTTTTAATTCAACAAAACTTTTCTTTAAAAAAACATTACATTAAAAAAATCATTATTGTCATGTATCTAAAAGATGCACAGTAATCTATCCTGGCTAAAAGTCCCAGATCATCAGTTAACTAAACATAAACGGGGAGTAATCTCCCATTAAAGCAATGTTATTGTATTAAAAATGATAATTAAACCATATTAACAAAAATAACTGTAAACAAAAGAAAGCAGGTGAAACATACCATGCACACGGTTAATGTTAGGCCTGTTAATAAACTCTTCTAAGAATAATTCAAATGAAAGCAGTGACCGCTGCTGCTTACAAAAGAATATGTATATTTTTTTAAAAATCTATTTCAAAGGGAACCAATTGCACCTGTTGCGCTTCTTCTAGGCACGGTTGGTTGCTTTGCGCAAGTAAACGGGAGCGCGCTTGTGATTTTTAACAGTCGTGTGCATCACATCAGCTGTTAGCGCGAGTGATCATGCTCTCATTCTGTATTCACCATTCTTCTGCTCGCCAAAAACACAGTTATTTTTGTCAGTCCTGGTGTTTCTCGATTCTAATATCACATTTGCACAAATATTGGGCCATGCTTATTGTTGAAAACTACAATTTAAAAATGATTTCCAACCAGCCAATGTGGCTAGTGTCTGTCTAACCCGCCAGAGCTGAAATCTACCTGCATTTGGCGGGTGTTGTAAAGCCCTGTATATAATTATATATTAAACCACCAGGTTAATATATATATTATATTAAACATATATTAAGCCACCAGGTGGTGTCATTTTTTAAATATGCGATTCATATTTTTCAAAATATATCCAAAATGGCTTACACCTTTTGAAACAAAGCAAATGACTGCCTTTCTGAATGAATCATTAAATCACAGGCTTAAAGGGACAGTTCACCCAATAATCAAGAAAAAATTCCAAACTAGTCATTAGCTGCTTTTTTCCAACATTCTTCAGAATATCCTGTTATGTGTTTAACAGAAAAAAAATTCATAAAAGTTTTAAACCACTAGAGCATGAGGGAATTTTTGGTTCTTGGGTGAAATATCCCTTTAAAAGATTCACTTAAAAACAATCATCCTAAAAACAAAACACTGCAGCATTGCTGTCAGACACAAATGTTCCTCTCTGGCTTTGTTGGGAACTCATTTCGTTGACAAAACCAAAATTTTGTTCCCAGATCTCTTTAGTAAATGTGTGTGTACCTGGAAGCGTCCAGTTTCTGCTGCTCCAGAATGCGTTGTTGGGCATCCCAGCTGGCCTTCTCCTCCTCGAACTGACGTCTCTTCTCCTCTAGCTCCTTATGCTGCGCCTCCAGGTTCTTCTTCATCTGTTCATGACGCCGTTGCAGCTGAACAGACAAAACACCAGCAGAGAAAATACAGATTCACTAACAGTCGTTCAAATGGAGTATAAACATCTCACTTTTTATATAGTGGCGGTAACTACTTTGTACCCAAATTCAAAAGTAAATCCAATGTACTTAATGTGTTCATAATGTATTGCAGATCAATTCTAGTTAGTAAATGGACAGGGTTTTAAACAGGTTTGGTGGTGTTGTTCAGCCACCGAAATCTTCCGGCGAAAGATTGATGTGACTATTGTCAGTTTCATAAGGAACATTTTACAGCATTGATAATGTAGATTTTTATTTAGTTCAACAACAAAACAGCAGTAAATAGCACTATCCGTCTAACCTGCTTTATTGAGCTGAAGTTGCTTTTATATTCACATTGTTTCATTTTTGAACAATGTCAGTCTCCCAGTATTGTTTACCATCCTTCTCTGAATATTCACTTTGAAATAGCATGTAAGTATGTCTTAGTAATAGGTGAAATTACAGCATGCCACCGGCCAATCACTAACTACATTTCTAACTGGCGAATGACATGAACTAGTGCAGTGGTTCTCAAACTGTGGTACGTGTACCACTAGTGGTACGTGGGCTTCCTTCTAGTGGTACGTGGAGGAATGAAATATGTCATGTACATGCTAAATACATTTCAAAATTTATCAAAAATGATGTATATAATATGCCATATATGACATATAGCCTATATTTCTGAGGTAATCTGCCACGTTTTTTTAACTGTGCAGAGTTGTAGCTGCTTTACTGGGCCTACTACACTACTGAATTTCAATACTGCTCATTTTGGTGGTACTTGGAGAGAGAATTTTTTTCTAAGGTGGTACTTGATGAAAAAAGTTTGAGTACCACTGAACTAGTGGGTTGTCTGCTGTCATGTCTCGGTGCGCGCGTTCGAGATTTCAGGAGGCGTGGCTTTGAAACACAGCCTTTTCCCTGCTGTCCACAGATAATATGCTAACCGGTTAGCATTTTGCTAGATCACCTACTGCATCTTTAATGTAAGGTGAAAGTAAAAAGGCTGAATGATGGTCTGTTTAACCGTTTTCTTGTTAGTGAAGCATTCAGATTTTTCCATTCAGATTTTCCACTTACAAAGTCCGCCATGTAAATAGTTAATGGTGCGACGCAGCTGGCTCTTAAAGAGAATGTGAGCTGAGACTCTGATTGGTTTAATGCACCTTATACTCAAAAGACACCCATAACTCATTAAGAGAACAAGCACAACCCTTTTAATTTTTCTGTCCTTAAAATAGCAAAAGTGGATTTTGCTTTAATGCCCTCAATGCTTTTGCGCCCAGCGCTTTAGACTTTGCACCTAGATCGTTAAAATAGAGCCCTTGGGTGTTTGTGAAATGTTACCTCTCCCTCAGAGTCTTTGAGTTTCTGGATCTTCTCCTTGACCTTCATCTCGAACACCTGCTCCATCTCCATTTCCATCTTCTTCATCTTTGCCACATGATCTCTCCTCTCCTCCTCCATCTGTGCCAGAGGGCTCCTTTTCACACGGAAATTAAAAGCAAAGCAGGGGCAGATGCACAAACAAATATTCATTAGCTCATTTACTAATAAAAAGCTTTTAGAAACAAATCCACCTGCAGGACAGGAGCAGTAGGGGAAAGAGGACCCTGATGAGGAAGGTTTTAGGACCCAGTGCAGTGTTTGAGGAATGAGAGTTAGTAAGCTGAACCGCAGCTGTGTTAGTGTGCAGCCGCAAGATCAACACCTCTCCAAAGAGCAAAGCCAAAGTCAATTATCAAACAATCAGAGCATGTTAACCAGGCAATTAACTCTTTCCCTGCCAATATTCTTTAAAAAGGTGCCAGCCACCACCATCAGTTTTGATGATTTTCACCCACATTTTTCTGCTCTGAATGTATGACCATATACAGTTGAAATCAGATGTTTACATCCACACAAAGGCACTTAACCATTTTTTAATTTTTGGTTGTTAAATCATACTAAACATTTTCTCTTTTAGATCAGTTAAGATCCCCAAAGTGATTTATATTGGCGACTGTAAATGCCAGAATATTGAGGGAATATTTTGATTGAGAAGTTTTGATTAGTTTTTAGACAGTCAAAAGTTTACATACATTTCCTTAGTATTTTGTAGCATTGCCTTTAAACTCGGGTCAAATGTTTTGGGTCTCCTTCCACAAGCTTCTCACAATAGTTTGCTGGAATTTTGGCTCGTTCCTCCTCACAGAACTGCTGTAAATGTGTCAGATTTGTAGGCTGCCTTGCTTGCTCATGCTTTTTCAGCTCTGCTCACAAATTTGATCTAGGATTGACATCAGGGCTTTGTGATGGCCACTCCAAAACTTTCACTTTGTTGTCCTTAAGCCACATTTTAACTTATTTGGCAGTATGCTTAGTGTCATTGTCTATTTGGAAGACCCATTTGCGGCAAAGTTTTAATTTACTGGCTAATGTCGTGAGTTGTTACTTCAATTTTCCACATAATGTTCTTTCCTTATGACGCCATCTATTTTTCTTCCTTGCTAAGTGGCCTTTCAGCCCATATCGGTACAGGACTAGTTTCACTGTGGACAATGAAACTCTCCTACCAGCTTCAGCTCGCATCTTCACAAGGTCTTTTGGTTGTGTTCTCGGGTTGATACACACATTTCGCACTATAAGATGTTCATCTCTGGGAGGCAGAATCTACAGATGAATGTGGAACCTTCAGGCATCTAGAAATTGTTACCAAAAAAGAACCAGACTTTTGGAGGTCCATAATTCTCTTTCTGATGTCTTGGTTAGATTCTTGATTGATTTTCCCATGTTGTCACACAAGGAAGTAGTGTTTGAGGTTTGCCTTTAATACTATCTACAGGTGCCCCTTAGACTAACTCAAACATTTTTCAGCCAATCAGAAACTTCCAAATCCTTGACACCATCATCTGGGCTTTTTCAGAGGCACAAAAATCTTATTGCATGTAAACTTTTGACTTTCAAGAAAGTAATTCTCAAAAAAATATCTAATTTGCTATAAAGCAAACAGAAACAATCTTGGTAATTCTAACCTACCTAAAAGAACAAAAATGTTTAGACACATTTAACATCTGACATAGTATATAAATGTACATAACCGTTTTTTAAGTGTATGTAAACTTCTGGTTTCAACTGTGTATTGAAACAAAGAACAAAGCTCTTACTTTTAAAGGAAAAAGCACATATATACTGAATATATATTCTGTCTTCATGTGTTTATATCTTATCATCACTTGAATGCTGCTATAATGATGTAAATAATTAGACAAGATAGAAATTGTTTTCTTTCCATTTTATATTTCCTTATATTATATTATATTTTATTATATTATATTATATTATGCTATCAGTTGATTATAAATGTTAATTTGGTACACTAAAATTAAAATGTATAATTCAGTATAAATGCAGGTTACTTATTGCAACTAAAAGTTTGGTTGCCATGTTTCTTCTACGTGTTTTTCTTTTTGCAAAAAGTATTCATAACTATGGATATCTAAAATAACACAAAAATTAGTATATCATCTATTCATCTATCCATCTATCTATCTATCTATCTATCTATCTATCTATCTATCTATCTATCTATCTATCTATCTATCTATCTATCTATCTATCTATCTATCTATCTATCTATCTATCTATCTATCTATCTATCTATCTATCTATCTATCTATCTATCTATCTATCTATCTATCTATCCATCCATCTATCTAGTCGAGATAATTAATCCAGAAAATCTGGACAGGATTATCAGAGGACTGAAAGACTGTACACAACGATGGAAAGAAAATTAAGCAAGAACAATTCATTTATGAAAAAATGGATGCACGTTATAATTATTTTCTAATCACTGGAATATTTAGTTTTTTTTAAGAGTATTCTCAAATGAAAAAACTAAAAAGCATAAAAAAACAATCTTAAAAAAAAGATCACAACAAACCTGGCAAATTAAAGGAAAAAATACTGTAATGACTATTTACTGAAAGCAACATGTGGTTTCATTTCAAAAAAGGACAAATTTGGTCTGTAAAGGCCTTTACTTCTGCTATAGACAGCATCAAAAATAGACCAAAACAGACTTCTTAAAAATAAATAAAAAATTAAAATTGTATCAATGCTACCAGTTTCTAAAACCAGGTACAACTGACATAAAAATGGCAAAATAAAGGACATCTAAAAGCTGTTACTACAGAACAGTGCTCCTAATAAAAAATCAGAACTGCAGTTACAACACTAAGAAACATTGAGCAGTTTGCCTGACTCCTAATGTAAACAGACAAGGAGAAAGGAATAAAAACAGAGAGCAGAGGACGAGACAAATGTGAACGTATGCACGACACTTACATGCCTTCAACTGTGTCAGGTCTAAAATAAAAAAACACACACACTTAGCATGCTCACAGTGCATCATGTGTTAGAAAAAACAACAACAATGTTAGCAGATGAATGTTCTTCCTCCTGTTCTTATGCTTTGGTTCTAGTGCCCCAACTATGCTTTTTTTGATATTATCATTTACCAAGTTTCAAAAATCAAACCTATTTAAGTTTTTAACAAACTTATTTGTTGCCAGCCTTTAATTGTCAAAAACTAGAAGTGTTTCCATTACCCTTCAAATTGCACAAACTGAAACCTCCAATTAAAACTATGCCAAACGAAAATGTGCAAATTTTAGAAAAATGGCCACACAGCACAAAAACTGTTTTCACACTAATGAAATGAAATGAAGGAAATTCAAAAATTAGGAATTTATACAATATACACTATAAAGAGTATATGTTAATAAACAGTTTCTGTATTTTAGATTCAGAAGTGCTTTCTGTTAATTTACGGTTGTGAATTGTATTATGGAACCTTGATATCTGCTCTGTTGACTTTTAATGTTGAAAATTCAACTTTAGATTAGGACTGTGCAATTAATCGAAAATCCGATTTCGATTTTGGATTCTAACGATTATGAAAAAACATTATTCAAGATAAACGATTATTCCATCATATACCGCCCCCTTTTCAGTTGCTCTTAAAAGCGCGAAAGACCACATGCCTTTGTGTGTGTGCGGTGCACACACACAGTCAGAAGCATGCGGTCAGCATTCGGTCTCTTACACACACTGAGACGAGCAGAGCACACACACATCTAAAGTCATCTTAACGTGTTGAGAATCGAAAGACACGTGAAAGAGAAATCATTAAAGTGGCAGCGCGATATTCCTGCTGCCGCCTGTTTTTATTAGTAATCAAACAGCAAAAGGAGAAAATCCCTTACTGCTCTTGACTGAAGGACTTTTGTAGCTTAAGTGTTTTTAATACAGTAAAGATGCTTAAAGCACAGTTTGTTTCATATTTTTATTCTATTGTATTTATTTCACTTTCCTTTGGAGAGTGGAAAAATAACTGTATATATGCAGTTGAAGTCAGAATTATTGACATAATAGTTTTAATCACTCATTTCTAATAACTGGTTTTAACTGGTAATAACTGGTTTTTATCTTTGCTATGATGACAGTACATAATATTTGACTAGATATTTTTCAAAATACAAGCATTCAGATTCAAAGTGCGATTCAAAGGCTTAATTAGAGTAATTAGGCAAGTCATTGTATAACAGTAGTTTCTTCTGCAGACAATCAAAAATATATTGCTTAAGGGGGCTAATAATATTGACCTTAAAATGGGTTTCAAAATATTTAAAAATATTAAGAAAAATATTAGAGGAAATACTGTTAACATTCCTTGCTCTGTTAAACATAATTTGGGAAATATTTATTTAAAAAAAAAATTCTCAGGAGCGCTAATCATTTTGACTTCAACTGATAATCGCTTTGAATAATTGTGATTACCATTATGACCAAAATAATCGTGATTATGATTTTTCCCAAAATCGAGCAGCCCTACTTTAGAGTTTAAAAAAGTGCCTTTTATTGACATTTTATTTATTTGAAAAAATATATAAGAAATAATATATAGAGAAATAAGTCTGTAAAATACTGTAATATACAGCACTTACAAACTATAAGTAATGTTAATAAAATTCACAATAATTTTATGTTAATGTTAATAAAAATCAACTTTTTTCAAAGTTAAATATTGTTGATAGAGAGATCAAGGTGCCATTATGCAATTCAAAAGCATAAACAGGGAAAAATATCAAATAAAAATGAATCACAAAATATGTAAAACTGCTGTGTACAGTTAGGTCCATATATGTTTGGAGATTCACACAATTTTCATCATTTTGGAAACTCCTGGAGTTCAGAAATTGTGGATTCTCAGACCGTTTTAAACAATAGCCTTATTTCCATCCATCTATTTGAATGTGAATTTTCAAATATCACATACAAAAATGCTTAATAAAAATGCAAAGATGGACATAAATTATGAAAGTGTGCATAAAAACCTCAATAAAATGGATAAACAATGATGAAAACATATGAAGGGTTTAGATGCCATCTAAAATGTTTTTCTAAAATTAGCATTTTTCCTCAGGCTCCTATGTCTTGATTCAGTAGTTTAACTTTTATGGCAAATAATCAATAATATCCAGCTGCAGGCCTGCAGAACCACACACGTTTTAGGCCCACACAATCTGGCACACACAATCTAGGCAAACCATATATTGCGATCGAGACGGGCGAATGGGGAGCGTTGTTTCCGATAGCCATTCAATATAATAGACTGAACAGTTTTCTATCAGTCATCATAGATGATCAGTCATTATTATATGTTTGCTGGCCTTGCTGAAAGATCTAAATTGGACAGGTTTAATTTATATAATGGATTCATTTAAGATGAAGGAAATAATAGCAAGTTAATATAGGCAATAATACATTTTACATGTAATAAAATCTTTTTACATGTAACAAATGTATAAAACTATATTACTATTTTACTCAAGCAATTTAATAGTGTGTATTTTAATATTTAATAGTGTGTATTGTATAATTTCCCACATTAAATACTGTAGTAGTTTATAGTAGGAAATATATTGTTTTTAAACCAAAATTTAGCAATAGAAACAATTAATAACAACTATTAATAATGAAATAATAATAATAATAATAATAATAATAATAATAAGTAAATATATATATATAAGTATATATAGAAAACAAACAGCTGTGACAGTTTAGTAAAAGATAGTAGTTTATAATCAGAAAATCAGTTAAGATAATTAGTTTATAACTATATTATATATTGTTTAAATGATTAACTATAGTAGGCTAATTCATTTTAATGTGACACATTATTGTTTGCTTTTTATATTTTACAACAAAGTGATTTTAACCAAGTATGATAATATTAAGATCCTGAATTAGTTTATTACACTTAATCCTACAATTAGATGGTCTATTATGTTTTCTTTATTCTTGTGACTAAAATGTGCCTGAAATGTGTGTGGTTCTGCGGTTCTGCAGCTAGATATACCTCCAAATAATAGGCTATTCTGACCGCCTTTACCATGAAATAACTGAAAATAAACATGAGGGGCTAAGTAAAATGCTTATAGTATAAGAGAATTCCAAAAGGCACTTACATCTAAACTCTTCAAATGTATTGAATAAATTCCAGCATGTGCATCAAAAAAGCCATAAGAAAAATGAATGCTATGGAACAGCATTAATGGATAAATTAATGGATACTAACTGCGTTTTGGCTTCATCTTCTTCATTAAATTATTTTATTATATATAAATATAAAAAAAACAAAAAAACACTGTACACAGCGGCTTCTCCGACTACAGCAAATTTCATATTTAAAAAATAAATTTGTCAGCAGTCATTGGACGGAAACAATGCTTTATTCTCAAATTTTCCAGTTTATACATAAGTTTAATGGTCATCTTTGCATGGAAACACAGCTAGCGACAAAAGAGCTGGTGCTGCATAAAGAGGGCACTTTAAGAAGTTAGACAGAGCTCTACATGTATTAGAATGTCCGGTTAGCAAATGTTTGTAGTATTAAGTTATTATGTATTATGAAGTTATTATTTATTATGAGGGTTAGTGGCAGATCTGTGCCGAGTTTGAACAGCTGTGGCTGTTAAAAAGCCTAATGTGCTGATGCGTTTAGTGCCACTGCGGTGAATCCAGCATTATTAGCATGTGTCAGTCTAGCTGTGGGGTCCCGGTTAAGACGTCTGTCACAATATAACCACAGACATTCATTTACAGTAAACT